CATGGGAAGGGACTCTGTGAACACTTGTCCACTCCCTCAGTACCCTTGGATGGATCTCATCTGGGACCATAGACTTGTGAATGCCTCAGCACTGTAGCAGGTCACTGATCATTTCTCCTTGGATTATGGGGGTTTGATCATGCTACCTGTCCCTGCTTTCCAGCTCAGGAGGCTGGGCACCTCTGGAGAACAACACATCTTACTGTTAAAGACAGAGGCAAAGAAAGCATGAAGTACCTCACCTTTTCCTCATCTCCTTAGTCTTTTGTTACTAATGTATTTATAGAAACAGTTTTCTATTCTCTTTCACAGCAGTAGCCAGACTAAATTCTAGTTGGGCTTTGGTCCTTCTAATGCTCTCCCTGCATAACCTCACAACATCCTTTGTAGTCTTCCTGCATTGCCTTGCCCCTTCTTCCACAGGTCAAAAACTCCCCTTTTTTTCCTGAGTTCCAGCCAAAGCTCTGTTCAGCCAGGCCAAACTTCTTTCCCACCAGCTAGGGATGGGGATGACCTACTCCTGCGCCTTTAAGATTTCTTTCTTGAAGAATGTCCAGCCTTCCTGGACTCCTTTGCCCTTCAGGACTGCCTTCCAAGGGACTCACTCAAACAGCCTCCTAAATAGGCCAAAGCCTGCCCTCCAGAAATCCAATTCAGAGATTTTTCTGATCCCCCTCTTTACTTCTCCAAGAATCAAAACCTCTTATTTTGTGATCACTTTGCCCAAGAGGGCCTCCAGCCATCACATCACCCTCAGTGCTTCCCTCTTCACAATCAACAGGCCCAGTGGGGCACCTTCCCTAGTCGGTTTGATCACCAGCTGTGTCAGGAAGTTATATTCCATACATTCCAGGAACCTCCTAGACTGTTTCCTCTTTGCTGTACTGTATTTCCAGCAGACATCTGGTAAGTTTTATATTGAAGGATATCTTCCATCTATTGACTCTCTTAGAACCCACTGCAGAGAAAGCAGCATTTTGCCATGCTGCACAAGCGGACTCCATGTAAGCTGCATTAATATATGCCACTAACTTTCATTCAGAAATACTTCTGAGGTTGACTGATACTAGAAAATACTACTGATGCTCCAGACCAGTTCAAGGAATGACATTACAGAGGTAGTGAAGACTGAAGCTACTTCCTTTAAAAGTTCCAAAAAGTATTTACAATTACCATGAGATTGAAGGATGGAAAGCAAGATGCCAGGAAAGAAAGACCAGATTGGATCAACATGTGAAAGAGCAGAAATTGTTGAAGTAGCTTGACCAAGTGAAGAGATTCTGGTTTCATTAGTACAACATTACTGAAGTGCTGTACTGAAGGGTAAGTCACTCAAGGCTCTAACAATGACCCATACAGCGTTCATGTATTTGTCTGTCTTCGAATTCAGCACTATGAATCACTCACAGTGAAACTGAAGATACTGGGTGTGTAATCAAGCCCAGCACTTGCCTATGATTTTGCAGGATGGGTCCTATCCCTGGCTCTGCAGCAATGGACAATCAGAATTCTCAAAAATGAAAGGAAGATTTGAGAAGGGAAAAGAAAGGGAAGAGGGCATACCCGAAAAGGAGAGATACTTGAATAGTTCTGTGATTTTTTTTTTAATGAAGTTTAATAACCCATAACACCAAGCATATGAACAGAAAGTCTTCAGAGACATGAGGGAAAGTATGCACTTTCCACAGAAGAGAAGTCCACAGTGTTGCCAAAAGGATTATGATAAACGAACAGCACGATCTCTCATCAGAAAGAATAAAAATAAAAAAAAACAGAAACCACATACTATTTCTGACACAAGAACTGCATTGTCCATTAGAGAGAGATTTTAGAAAAAAAATCCGGTCAAATTTAACACCAGACAGCCATTGTGCCACACAAGGAAATAAAATTATCTAAAAATATCTGAGATAACTTCCCACCTGTGCTGATTTCAGCTGGGGCAGAGTTAATTTTCTTCACAGTGGCTAGTACAAGACTATGTTTTGGATTTTTGCTGAACACAGGGTTGGTAACACAGAGATGTTTTTGTTATTGCTGAGCAGGGCTTACACAGAGCCAAGGCCTTTTATGCTTTTCATACTGCCATTCCGGCAAGAAGTTGGGGGCACATGGGACGTTGGAAGGAGACAACCAGGACAGGTAACCCAAACTGACCAAGAGGTTATTCCAGACCATATAACATCATGCTCTGTATATAAACTGGGGGGAAGAAGGAAGAAGGGAGGACATTTGGAGTGATGGCATTTGTCTTCCCAAATAACTGTTACGTGTGATAGGGCCTGCTCTCCTGGAGATGGCTGAATACCTGCCTGCCCATGGGAAGTGGTAAATTAATTCCTTGTTTTTCTTTGTTTGTATGAATGGCTCTTGCTTTCCCTATTAAAACTGTCTTTATCTCAATCCATGAGTTTTCTGGCTTTTACCCTTCCGATTCTCTCCCCGATCCTACAGGTGGGGGAGTGAGTGAGCGGCTGTGTGGGGCTTGGCTGCTGGCTGGGGTTAAACCATGATACCACCTCAGTAAAATAACAGAAGGACCTGGATTCACTTAGATTTTTTTCCTTAAACTCAGAAAAATCAAAGGCCATGGAAACTATGCTTTCAGAGTTTGTGACCAAGTAACAAACTGAATTCACAAGTCTGCTGCAATTGGCAAGTTCAAGCACATTTTGGTTAAATAATATAAATTCCGGTTAGAACAACTTTGCTACCAAGAAGTTTGTACCAACTCATATGTCTGTGCCAGTAATTTCCTTACCACTGGCAACTCTAAGTACTTGATTTCTGTTCCCCCTGCTCTCCTGCTCAACTGTACCCTTGGGGAGAGCCCCAACCACGCTCCCACTGCGCCCGAATGGCAGCCTCCCAGAAGGTTCCAAACGACTCTGTGTGGCAGCCAGAAACTGCAGCAATGTCCTCATGTGTTCTTAAAAGGAACATAACATTCATGACATAATAAACTGCAAACACACAAAACTGATGTCATCTGACACAGAAATTGCTATCCATGGAAAGGATTCAGAAGGCAATGAGTCTTATGAGTACTGAAGTAACACAAGACAGATGAAATCAAGTCTGAAATGCAGTCATATAGCTGGGACTAATAAGATTTCAGCTATAAACTAGCAGCTTATCAGTTGAAAGTGATAGAAAAGGAGAAGGAATTAGATCTATCAGACCACAGTTGGCATCAACAGGAGGAACCGAAGAACAAAGGAAGGAATATTTTTTTGTTCAGATGGTGTATTATTCTTTCCCTTAAAAATGATCCTCTTGAAACATCAACAGGAATATATTGTCCATATGTAAGAAAGACCAACATAAGCTGAGTTAAGAAAAGGCTTTTTCAGGAAACAGGAAGACTGGGGAACATCTTTATTAAAGGAAACTGTAAGAATTTAACTTCTAAATTTATCAGAATAAAGCTGAAATACTACAGGACTGCTATCTATATATATGCAGCATAAACACCCACTAGAACAAAAGCAGACTGAGCAACAACACAGTAAACTTGCCACAACTAAATTATTATCAGAAATTATGTTATTAGCCATCAGAGGACAGATGTTAACAACCTTGTGGTTTCTCAGCATTGAATTTAATCTTAAGTTATCAGAAATGTTAATATCTTAAAGAGCATATAAGGGCATACCAAAAAAAAGTCAAATCCTCTAGAATACATAACTAAAAAGTTTCCTAGTTTTTGGGAAACTATATCTATAAAATTCAGGTCAAGGTTCTCTCTAAAAAAAATTGTAACTCCTTCAGAGCTCCATTTAATAAATCTTGGGAATCAAAATTATCAAATTCAAACATAGTAAGTAAACAATCAACAAAATTTCTAACCTTAAATAGGCCAGAAAGAGATAATTTAAGCTTTAACTGCAATCTAATAACCAAGAGGGTGAAGTCCTGACTTTTGTTTTGTTAATGGACTCTCCTCTCCCCTCTATTTTTTCTAGTGACCGACTAAGTTGCCTGCTCTGGTAGAGAACTAAAAACCAATAAACAGGTGTCTCAAACTTCCAAGAAATTGCCTGAATTTATAACATAAGTAAAATAAATTATCTACATAATTGAGGTTTGTTCTGTCATCTATTACAACCTTAAATATCAAGTGACTTTAGGTGAGGACAAGAACCATGGTAATATCTTCCAATAGAGGCAAAACTGTTCTTAGTTTGGGGACAGGACTTACAAGCCCTTCTTGATAGTGGTTACTAATTTGAACAATCTAAGCCTTCAACTCCCTGCTCCAAAAGAAATCCAGTAAGAGGAAATGCTTGCTTTGGGAGAGACTTCAGTAATGTTTTCTGGGGAAGGTTATTGCTTTGTCTTTTGAAAATGCTCCAGTGCTTTTACATGGGTACGGAAAACAAACCTTTAAAGTGTAGAGATTAGTGATCATAACGAAAAGTTTTCCATGCAACAGATAAGAACAGTATAGGTTACTTCCTTTCTGTAAGTATCATATTCATTTCTTCTCAGATATACAAAAAACCCCATGTTTTTTGTTTCACGTTATAAACTAATAAAATAAACATTACCTGTAACAAAAACGTGGGAGTGGGGCCCATTCTGACACTTTAAACCTGCAGTCTGCCAGTGATCTAGTAAGAGCTGATGGAAAATATCTCTAGCTAAAGATATATTTCATGTATTAAGATTTTGAATGTGATAATTCTATTTATATATAATTTGATATTTTATATTACTTCCTTTTCAATGGTAAACACACAGCAAGATTAAGTATCTACAAAGCTGCAGTTACCCTGTAGTTTAAACAAAACAGGTCTTTTGTAAAGGTCAGTTCTGTTAGTTAATAAAAACTATCTACTTCCAATGTCATTCTGTTAAACAGAACTGGAGCACAAAAAAAATGTTACCGTGGCAGCAGCTGCTTCCTAAATTTTAGATTTAAAACCTCAAAAACCATGTATTATGGCACAAGGATCATCTGTGAGCAAGCACATATACTTTACTGCTTTGAATCTTACCTAGAAATCTCTGCTTGGGAATTCTTCTCTCCATCGACTGTAAATGGTGATGCTCCAGTTAATAATTCATACATAAGAACACCAACACTCCACCAATCAACAGCCTATAGAACAACAGTAATTATGTATGTTATGATACGCTGAAGTAAAATTGTTAACAAAAGAAGGAACAAAACAATACACTTGGAAAAGAACTAGCATAGGAGGAACCTACTTATCAAAGGAAACCTGGATACAATAAAGCATAAATAACTGCAGTACTGGCTGGAGGTATTTTCTGTGCTAAATTAATGTTAAAATCTCTCTACTGAGCTTCTTCAACTAATTTCTCAAGCTGAACTCTTTCAACTGACTACTAAAGTTCCTTTTGCTCCACCCCCCAAATTTCTTTTTTTTTTTTTTGCCATTGTGAAGGGATAAGAATTCTAAAATGAACAGAGGAAGCTAAGCCTTGCTAAGAAGTAGTTGAACTTGAGCTGTTATGAGTTTGAGAATGAAATTAGGAATGTTCAAAAAGCACAATTTAAGATCACAGGCCACAATTAATCCAGGCACCTGAAAATGCTATTCAATTTTATCTCATTCATAAAATCATAGAATGGTTTGGGTTAGAAGGCATCTTAAAGATCATCTCATTTCAACCTATCTGCCATGGACAGGAACACCTTTCACTAGACCAGGTTGCTCAGAGCCCCATCCAACCTGGCCTTGAACACTTCCAAAGATGAGGCAGCCACAACTTCTCTTGGCAACCTATTCTGGTGCCTCATCACCCTCACAGTAAAGGATTTATTCATAATATCTAATTTAAATCTCTTTTAGTTTAAAGCCATTCCCCCTTGTGTTGTCACTACATGCTTTTGTAAAAAATCTCTCTCCATCTTTCCTGTAGGCTCCCTTCAGGTATTCTGGAGACACAATTAAGCAACCCTGGAGCCTTCTCTTCTCCAGGCTAAACAATCCCAACTCTCTCAGCCTTTCCTCATAGGTGAGGTGCTCTACCCCTTTAAGCACCTCAGTGTCCATCCTCTGGACTCACTCCAATATGTCCATGTCCTTCCTGTGCTGGGGACCCCAGAGCTGGATGCAGCACTCCAGGTGGGGTCTCAACCAGAGCAGAGCAGAGGGCAGAATCCCCTCCCTCGACCTGCTGGCCTCGCTGCTGTTGATGCAGCCCAGGACACGTTTGGCTTTCTGAGCCGCAAACACACATGGCCAGCTCATGTCCAGCCTCTCATCCACCAGCACCTCCAAGTCATTCTCAGGAGGGCTGCTCTCGATCTGTTCATCCCCAACCTGGACTGATACCAGGGGTTGCCTCAAGCCAGGTGCAACACCTTGCACCAGTTCACATTTCACTTGTTTGCTCCCTCACTCAGGCCAGTAAGTAAGGATCCAGCACAAGACTTCAGCAGTTTTCTTCATTTTGGTTCCTATTACTTTCCCTACTATCCATCCTGCATGGGCAGCTGCTCATGGGTACAGACACTGTTTAGTTATGGTCATCCAGTGCCAGCGCTGTGCCTCAAGCGTCTTAGAGAGATGGACCTCAGTAACACATGGGATATTTGGTTTCCCATATATTAATCGTATTATTCATATTCTGATACCTCGCAACTTACGAAGTATTTCTCTCTTTCAAAAGGCAAGATACAACTATGAATAATACACGAAGCAGTTTAGTCCTTTCAACAAAATTAATTTAACTACAGTTGTTTGAACTTCTCAGTTTTACAGCCATGAAATCTGCAAATCAATGAAACTGAAGTTCTCCTTTACTTATGTTGGCAACATTAATACAATACAGGAAGACAACCAGAGAAATGATGACAGGTCTCTTCTTTTAGGTTTTTTTGCCTCAGTGCACACAAAATCTGATGCTTCATATATTCAGCCAAGAGTGTCTAAAAGAACTAGCTGAAGAAGTCTCCGTACTGTTACTAATTATCTTTGCAAATACATAATTCTCAAAGATAATTCCAACAGTTTTTTCTTGGCATGTGTTTTTCCAAAAGAAAAGGAGGATCTGTAGAATCAGAAATCAAACTTTAAAAAAAATACTGAAATATTTGAGCATGTCTTTTAGACAAACAATGCAATAATCTAGAAGAAATTATAAATCATAAACATAGCTTTAGTATGCTATGCTCTCATTAATCAATTTAATTTTCTCTTTTTGTAAGGTTTTTGAGTTGCTAGATATGCAGTAAGTATAAAATACACTAAAAATCTTCTAACACTACAACACATGACATTGCCAGTGGTAAGGTAATGAGTGTGTGGTGCAATGAACTAACATCACATACCTAACTGCAAAATCACCCTTATTTATCAGCTAACATTTGGTATTAAACTGTGAAGCTATTCCTTATAGAACACTGTATGACTCTGCACTACATCTAATGGAAGTGTCAGATAGAAACAAAGATAACAGAACAGAGATTCTTCTTTAAATCAATAAGACGACTGAATTTATAAGCACTTGAAAAGCCAGAATCATAATTCAAGGTGACTGACACATTGAAGAGATGCTCCGAAAGTGGCAAGACTAAACTAGGAAAGAGAGTGCAGCAAAGAGCTTCAATTCAAACCTTTTTAAAACCCCATTTTTAATAACTGAGCAAGCAGAACAGTAGAAAAAGATGCAGAGGTAATCATCCTGCTGTACCTCAAAGTGCCAACTCCCAGCTCAAACACTATGCTCACTACAGTGCTCCCTACCTGAATGCAAACTCAGACCAAAAGAACCGTAGATTGCAGAGAGAAGGAAAAGAAAGAACAGGCAAAAGTCAGACTTTTCCAGTTTTTAAACAGGCTGCAATAAGAGGAACTGTGATCAACTACATTCCATGGTCCCCAACAGAAAGACAAGTCAACTCAGTCTACAGCAAAAGAACAACAGAAATTAAATAATCTTCAAAACTTCCCAATACAGTGAGCAATCCAAATAATTTCTCTATGAATATCGTAGAATTATTTTGGGGGATAGGGTTTTTTGTTTGTTTCAAATACCATCTGTGAATTATTGTTGTCTTGATCTTTCTTATCAATTACAGATACTTTAATAAAATAATAAACCTGAGCTGCAAGCCAAATAATTAATTTTTACGATAAGAGAACATTTATAAAATTAATAATCCATTCCATACTTCAATAAAGATAACAGATTTATCTGATGTCTAATTTAAAGCATATAGCAGAATTAACCACAAACCAGTAATTTTATGTAAAGGAAAGTGTCAGCTAAGTTTATTGTTTCACTGCATATTTAGAATAAATTTTGAATAGAACACAAATAAGCCTCAATATCTTTATAAACATGCCTTTTACTTAAGATTAAAAGAAGAAAATACACCAAGAGACAACTGAAGACCCAGGCAATAATCTATTTTAGGACAACCTGAAAATGCATGCTTAAATAAGACACTGTCACATTTTACAAGAAGTCCTCAAGCTGAACAATGCTGCCTAAAGAAATAGTTTATTTTCAGTAAGAAAATTAGAACATACCTTATCATGTCCTGTGTCTCCTCCCCTTACAATATCTGGAGCCATGTATTCTATTGTTCCACAGAAGGAATATGCTCTCTCATTCTAGCAAAAAAAAAAAAAATTTAAAGAATTTATGAACAATTATATTACACAAATCATATGGGACAGATACGGCTAACAGTTCCAAGATGCTGGCAGCAATTCTTCTCCAAATAGCTCAGAACTGCTAGCTAAATAATATTCCATCATATGCAGAGATGTATCATATAATGCTACAGAATACTTAGGTTTGTGTTGCAGTCTGAGATAAGCACATAAAAATTAATGTATTGATATTAAAAAAAAAACTTTCCCATAAGTCTAGATCCTCTATACATTTCAGAACTACATAAAATTCCCCAAAGTGATATACATACACATTCTGAAGGCTGCAATATCAATACTCTAGATAAGAAATGAAAGCTTTCCATTAAAAAGAGAATTTCACTGTAAGATGTACAATTTGACTAAACTGGATACAAGATCCTGTGGGCTCCCCGTATTTAGGAATTCTTTCTCACCTCTAGAAAAGTCTTTTTTTTTTCGCAACACACACATATATAAAACACAACATTCTCTCAAGAAGAGACTGGGAGAGAGACAGAGAGAAAGAGAAAGGCAGACAGAGTTGTAAATTTAATTTTATTCTACGCACTGAATTATTTTCTTGATTATGTTCAAAACTAATCTGCTTTCACAGTCATGTATAATTGTTCCCTGTTAGTGATTTACCTTTGAGGTCAACATGAGGTCATGCTGTACCTTGCTAATGACGAAAGCACATGTGTTTGGGCCATGCAACATTGTTCCTCCCTTATCCTTCAAGCTTCTAGCATTTTGGGGACAGATCCTGATAGGTCCTTTAAAGAAGAGTGTTCAAAAAAGCAAATATTTCAAAAGTCAGGTTTTACATTTGTAGATTCAGATCTGGAGTTTAAAAACAGGTGCTATATAAGAGACTACACTAATAAGAGGAAGCTTCTAAAAGTAGAAACAGTGCTCCGTGCTACCCTGAGGCATAAAAATTAAACAGTCCAACAGCATATTATTAAACTGTATTTCTTAAAATACATATACTGTGACTGGTTTTTAGGGGTAAAAGTTTAAATTCAAAATAGTTATAAGGCCTCATTTTGTTCAATGTTAACTTGAAATATTAACTTGAGATAAAACCATATAATAATGAACTTTTCATGACTCTACTTTCTTCTGACACAATTTTTGTCTCTGTTATCTTAAAGAAATATAGTGTAATAAAAAGTGTAAACAAAGAAAAATGTCAGAAATTCCTAGCCCTCCATCAGCCAATCTAAAGCTATTCAATATCTCTGTTCTTTTTTTCCTTCAGCTGTGAGGGAGGGAGAGGGGAAAAAGCAGAAAAAGAAAAAGGAAGGGGAGTGAAGAATGCAGGAAGAAACTGTTCATTGCTTGCTACTCTCGAAAGAGTAAAGATAATGCAGCCAAACAGATTATCAAAACAACTGTCCGAAAGCTAAGCATTCTGACTCAACTACAGATTGTACAGCATCTTGTGAAGGCAAATCTGTGTCAAAGTCAGGACTTCGAAACAGCTGAAGTCATAAAATCTGGATACGTCTTTGTTAGAAACCTCTGTTTACACTGTGTTTTATTAAGTTACAGGCTTCATCAACTGCATCTAGCTGTTATTTGCAAAACACAGTTCTAACAGTATTAAGTTTCACTAGGAACACTTATATAAATTTATGATAATTAAATATGTCTCTTACAGGGACTCACTGCTAGTTTTTGCTTTTACGCACTACATGTGGGCTTAAAACTTTTCAAAAGATGTTATCTCCGATACCTGTTTCATTTTTTGTCCTGTTCTGATCTCCCAGCTACATGAGAGACATGGACATACTGGAGAGAGCAAAAACCACAAATATGATTTAAGGACTGGAACATATGAGGAAAGGCTGAGTAAGCAGAGACTGTTCTACCCGCAAGAGGGAAGCCTTAGGGAGATCTCATCAATGTACATAAATGCCTAAAGGGAGCATGCAAAGAAGAGGGAGCCAGGCTCTTTCCAGTAGTGCCCAGTGACAGGATCAGAGGAGGAAACACTTTTAGTGTGAGGGTGACTAAGCACTGGCACAGGCTGGCCACAAAGGCTGTGGAGTCTCTCTCCTCGGAAATATTCAAAAGGCTTCTGGATTGGTTGTGGGCAACCAGCTCTAGATGACTGTGCTTGAGCATGGAGTTGCACCAGATGACCTCCAGAGATTTCTTCCAACCTCAATCACTCTGTAATTCCGTCACAAAATATAAGTTGTATTTCAACATCCATTCGTCAGTCACATTTCACTCACAAATCAAACATGCAGGCCCTCCTCATCCCAATTTCATTCAACTTCATAATATGAATTAAAGAAAGAATGTTATTAAAAAACAACTGAACTTGGATAACTTACAGATGAATTCTCACTGATCATGCACATCTTGCAAATACTTGAGCTTAAGAAATTTTTTGCGTGACACAGAACGCTCATTTTCTTTCTTTAAACATTGTGGTTTCCTCTTCTGAGTTACAGAACAGCAAGCAATCAGACACTAATGGATGGAAACAGAAGTGTGGCTAACCCATCACTTAAAACTCAGTATGACAACATTGACCCTGTCTTTGAAAGGGTGTCATTCTGTTTGTTCCAAATCAGCAAATCAGTTCTTTGATGTTTACAGATAATCTAGAGATAAATCTTAGTCTTCTAGTACACAACAGATGGTTATTATTTCCTTCTCTTTACCAAGTTCAGCATCAGTCGTCAATGTTTATGCAATAACATATCTTTTAGTAAAGGTAAATGAAGTGGCTACTTCAAACCAGTTAGCTGCTTAAGAGAGCACTAACTTTTCATGAAGCCACCAATAGAAAGAGAATTTTTTTAAGATTCTTGATCAGTGAACATAGATAGGTTCGCATGGATAGTAAGGCAGTTCACCTCGTTAAATCATCTCTCTATTAAATTAGAAAAACATGTTATATTCCCTTACTACTTTTTCTTTGAGATGAGCTACACACTGTCATGGTGGATCTCCCAATATATATTACGAGACTGTTTCTAATAAGCACTGTAGTACTACATACAGGACAAACTTCAAAATTTCTCCATACTAGCTATGGCAATATAAAAAATAGGTAGTGCACTGCCCTCTTTTCAAGTTCCTTGCAATCATTCTGACTGATCTGAGCTGCCGACTGAAATGTAACTGCTTTAACTTGCTAGGGCACTTTCAGTACCACATCTGTGTGAACACTGAAGTCTTTTCTCCAGATTATTTATTTTAGCATCCCATTTTCCTTTCCCTTCCTCAAAAAAGAAAGGGTACTCAGCAGCTTTAGTACAGAGAATTAGACCTCTGTGGCTGTCCAAGATGAAGTTGTGTAATGCAGATTAGGATTTGTCCAAGAAGACAGTCACTTCACAAAAAAAAAAAAAAAAAAAAAAAAAAAAAAAAAAAAAAAAAAAAAAAAAAAAAAAAAAAAAAAAAAAAAACAAAAAAAAAAAACTACCACTACCTCAGACTTTGCTAAGACTATGTACCCTGACCTTCACAGCTGACACCAATTACAGAGATCAAAATACCTAGCTCCAAAATTCAATCAAAAATGCTGACAGAAGGATGGCAGTCTTGCACCATCATGTTCTTGATGATCTTGTGGCATCTCTGCTTTACAACCAAGGAATGGTAGGCAGGCACTTGAAACTATATGAAGTTGGAGAAAGAACTCGTATAAAGCTTTCTCCCCAATGACAGAGAGGTCTTATGTCTCTGATGGAGAAACAGTCACCAGTGTCATACAAGGATGTGTCCTTTAGAGCACACATCCTAGTCTACAGCAATGCAAATTCATTTTAACAACATATAGTTGGCAGGTCAGACAGTTATTAAGCCTTGTAACTGTTCAACAGGTTTTAACAGAGTATGTGGGACAAGAACTGCAATATCAAAGTGAATCACAGGAATTAGATGAGATTTCAAGACAGCCAAGGTATCACTCATGCTCAACATGCTCCTGAAAGACTCATCTCTACTGGGCCAAGCTGCTTTTTTGCAGCCAGCTCTTTGGAAAAAGGGCTGTTCCATTGTGTCTTATTTAAGAAGATACTGTGCTGGAAGGACGGTGTTAGTGTCTAGTGCCACAAAACTTACAGCCCAGAGGCACTGAAAATGTGTGATTCAGTGTTCTAACAAATCCAAAAATGCGTGGAATTTGAGCAAAGAAATAGCAACAACAGATGCTGGATGGGTGTTTCCCAACACCTATGAGGTGAAGGCCTGCATTATTTTATCACATGCACCCAAAGATCTGCAGCTGAGAAACAAACTGTGTTTTAATACTTGGCTGAAGACATCTTCAGCTTCATAGGGCATAGGCAGACAACCAGCCGAGTGCCAGGTCCAAACTAGTATTTGTAAAAAAAACCCAAAAAAAATTCCAAAAAGTTTTCTTAGAGCAGAGGACATGATCCCAAGGGACTGTTACATAGTACTCCTTCAATAAGTAGAGAACATCATTAGTTCAGGGCCTCAAAAAAGAAAAAAAAAAATTAATTTTCCTCTTGAAATCAAGATCTGCATAGCTGGGAAGTGCATTTTGTGATTGCCATGCCTACTCATAGCATGGCAGACAGGGAATCCAAGTCAGACTGAATGAACATACAGAGAACAGCTTTCAGAACACCAAAGCAGCCCTAGAGCAATAAGAGACGATGTACAGTGAAAGGTTCAAGACTAAAAGAGGCAAGAGGAGGTTTAGATTAGACATTAGGAAAAAACTCTTACTGGAAAAGGTTTTCAAGCATTGGAACAGTCTGTTTAGGGAACCGGTGGAGTCACCATCCCTTAAAGTGTTCAAAAAATGTGTGGATATGGCACTTGAGAACATGGTTTAATGGTGACCATGGTGGTGATGCTAGCTTGACAGTTGGACTTTGTGGTCTTCAGGGGCTTTTCCAACCTTAACAATACTATGACTCTAAGGGCTGATGTGTCGAGTACCTTCTGAGTGAACAGCAGCAGTGTACTGATGACACTGAGCA